CTCCATGTATCATTCTCTTGAAGCACAAGCAGCTCCTTTTCCATTGCTTCCTTCCATCTTGCATGATTTTCACTTGATACTGCTTCTTCCAGGCTCATAGGCTCTTCTTCTGTAGAATAAAAACACATATCAGCACTGCTCAGATCATAATCCTTAGACCATGCTGGCCGCCTAACTTCACATTTTCCTGGTCTGGTAATAACTACTTCTTCTTCAGATATTATGCTTTCTTCTTGTGATTCATTCGAATCATTACTATCATTAGCACTGTCGAAGTGCTCACTTTCATTTTCTTGATCATGAATCTCATCTTGAGTCTCATTGTTAACATGTTCAAGAATCACCTCATTTTGAAAATCAGCTTCAAATTCATCATTTTCACAGTCTAATATAACAATTTTTTCTGATTTAATGTTTTCTGTGTTATTTTTTCCTGATGTTTCATTCTTGGGAATGAAGACAACATCACTATGAACTTCTACTTTATTTTTGTCTGGAAAGTAAACTCGGTAGCCTTTGATTTCCTCTGAATATCCCACAAGGACTCCCATTGCATTTTTCGCATCTAATTTGACTCGTTTTTGTTTGGGAATATGAACACTGACTTTAGAACCAAATGCCTTGAACATTTGCATGTTACAGTTCCTGTTGTACCATGCTTGAAATGGTGTTTGTTCCTTTTGTGGGCTATTTCCTGCACGGTTTAAACAAAAAACTGCAGTATTTGCTGCCTCAGCCCAAAAAGACTTATCTAGGCCTGAGCTATGCAGCAGTGTTCTCACTGATTCTACCACAGTCCTGTTTTCCCTTTCTGCTCTCCCATTTTGCTCAGGAGTATATATACATGTTTTTTGATGAATTATTCCCTTATATTCACATATTTTTGACAATTTGTCATTAACAAATTCTAGACCATTGTCTGTTCTTAAAGTTTTAATCTTGTTTCCAGTGATATTTTCTACCATTGGTATAAAACTTTGAATCTTTCTTTCTACTTCTGATTTTTTTTTCAAAAAATATATGTGCCTATATCCAGAAAAGTCATCTTTTAATAAAAGAAAATACTTTGCCCCACCGAGAGATTCAGTTTCAATAGGGCCACATAAGTCTCCATGTATTAATTCACATGTTTTCTTTGCTCTGGATTCACTGACAGGAAATGGAAGTCTATGTTGCTTTCCAGCTAGACATTCTACACAAAAATTATCTTTTTCATCTTTGAAAGGTATATTATTTCTTTTAAAAAACCTCTTTACTTGTTCAAAGTTAATATGTGCCAGTTTTATATGCCAGTCCTGCAAGCTAGTGACTGCATTACACTGTGATAACTGCATATCAGAATTTTGAGCAGTTCTTTCTACTTTGAATTGCATTTTATATAAATTACCTAATCTTTCTGCTATTGCTCTTATGTTGCCATTTTTATCTAGCATTTCACATTTTTGTTTGTTTGAGCGCATTTCATAGTTTTTGTCCAATGCAGTACTCAAAGAGAACAAATTTACTGCTAGATCTGGTATGAATAATACATTATGTAAGTCTGTACTCACCCAATTGCTTCCATTCCATGCCATTACTTGCACAGTACCTAGGCCATGTACTTCTACTAATGTGCCATTTCCTACTCTTCTCTACTTTCTCAGGCATATTTTTCATTGTTATAAACTGCTCCCTGTCAAAACACATATGTTCAGTGGCTCCACTGTCCATCCACCAATGTTTGGCATTCAAGTTGTCTTTGCCAAGTGTTGCCTTGACATCAGAGCAATTTAGTAAGATTGACTCACTAAGAAATGCTTGATCACCTGGCCTCCTATTATCTTCCTTTCCTTCTTCTGCTCTTTTCTTCTTAAACCAACAATCTTGCATCCAATGTCCTGGTTTTTTACAGAAATTACATATTTTCTTGATTCTCTGGTGATCCTTCCTTGAATGTCCTGGTTTGTTGTACCTAGCAAACTTTCCTCCAGTTGCTAGTGCTGTTGAATTTCCAGCATTCTTGCTTCTTTCTTCTTCAATCAACAACCTTGACATAAGTTCAGTCAATGTTTGTTTGTCTGATGGACTTGATTCCCATGCAGAGATAAAGTACTTCATACTTTCTGGTAGTGACATTAGAACCTTTGTGACTACCATTTTGTCACTAATTTCTTCTCCCAAGGCCTTCAGTGAGCCTTTTATTTCTTCTAGCTGAGACATGAATTCTGCTGCGTTTCCTTCTGTGTATTCTAGAGAGAGAAATCTCTGAGTCAGCAGATGTACACTTACTTGAGATGTATGCTCATAAATGGCTTTGAGCTTTGTCCACATTTCAGCTGCGGATTTGCATGACAGAATATGTGTCAAGACTTTTTCATCCAGTCTGGACACAATGATTTCCTGTGCTTTTGCATCCATAAGATCCCAATCATCGAAATTTGAAGATGGTCTTCGAGTGGTCCCGTTAACTACATCAAAATACCGTTTTGATTTGAGGGTTATTTCTACCTGGAACTTCCATGTTGTCCAGTTGTTTCCACTGAGTTTCACAATTGCAATAGAACCTGTTTGCTCTCCCATTGTTAATTTCGATCGTCGTATTGTGGCCCCAAACTGGGTTTTTCACACAGACTCGTTGGAGTACTGTTATTTTCTACCGGCGTCGATTATATTTATTACCACTTCATAGGCGCATCTGGGCCCATAACCTGATGAAAGGCCGTTTTTATTAGTGGTAATAATGGAATATATTCAGTTTTAACTATTTATTGAGCAAAATTATACTTTTAAATATCATTGCAAAAGCGCGCCACATGCCATCATTTTAGGTTATCTTAACTTAGGTTATCTTAAGTGATATCTTTGGTTATGTAGACAACTGTCATAAAACATAAAGTTGCCAACATATGAACTACAACACAGTTGTGGCTAGCAGACCAACAGCAGGTTCAATATATTCTAGTTAAAATGGTTTTATTGTTTTATTTCTAACAGATATGACATATTAAATTAAAAAATCGACGTGTTTACAATTTTCTTGAGGAGGCTTGCAGTTGACAGGAAAAATCGAATTTATTCTATAATTCACGGACACACAGAATATATAATGTTTTCACAAATAATACAATTCAATGTCTCAAAAAACTTGAAACAGTAATATTTATTTTACATTTTGAGTACGTAGATACTACTCTGAGAGCCGCTGATATCAAACTAATTCAACCTCGTTTCCATGTCTCTTCGTGACGCTTGTTGATACTTTATATTTCAGCGAGCTATGAAAAAAATCACTGTTGCCAAACTATACAAACTAGAAAATAACTAATCAATTCAAAAACTGTAATATATGTATATAAACATTTTCAAAAATAATGAAGTTTATCGATTGGTACAAATAGTAATACATTTCTTCTGAATTATATGCATTCCTGATTTTTAGACAATCAAAATAGCAAATTTTGCACAATGCAATGGCATTTCTGAAAGCGCTACTCTGTTGCCTTCAATCTACAAAAAAAAAGCAAGCACTTCGAGAACTTCCTCATTTATGAAGATATGACGGTGATAATATAAAACTACACTTCTCTTAGAGTAAATTTTTTTCTGTTTTTTCTAGTTTAAAAAGTTTCAGACCACTAAAAAATGTCGTAAAATACGAATTTATCTTTCTTAGGTCATGCTTAACAAAACCTATCATGCCTAACCTCATTCTACGCAAAAAAAGTCGGAATTACTTAGGTTCTGAAATGTAATTTCTCATAAATTACTTTGTTCCCACGGGAAAAAAAGCGAGTGCTTTTTTCCCAGTTATATAACACATATATATGCACTGTTGATGGCTTTTGTTCCATTTGACTTCGCGGTTACGTAAATTACTAAACAACCACTGAATTTGCTCAAATTTTTCTCAAGTCAAATCACAGATCATAGATGAAAACCAAAAAGTCATCTCCGCAACATTTATTAGGATGGTCACATACCAATCTTAAAGGAACATGTTTCGGGCTTATATAAACCCATCATCAGCCAATATAACATATTATAGTTCCAGGAAAATATTTTCTATTGGCTGATTATGGGCTTATATAAGCCCGAAACATGTTCCTTTAAGATTGGTATGTGACCATTCTGATAAATGTTGTGGAGATGACTTTGGCTTTTCATCTATGAACTACACCACTCCACTTTGAGTTACCATGGACTTCTTCCAAAGATCAAATTACAGAATTAGACTAATATTTGATTACTTCAAAAGAATGAAAAAGATACCTGCAAAGAGATGCCGGCAACGCAGGTGTCATTCCTGTTCAAATTTCACGTGGATAATTTCCTGATTTTAATATTATATTAATGTGATATCTTCTCAATATTGATTCGTCCTTTTTTCTGTCGCAGAAAAAAATTGTGTATTATACATGGGGAAAATATTCGATTTTAGAGCACTGTTTTTTGTCATCCTCCGCTACGCGTCGGGAGCTGAATTGTACAATTTTTATCCTTGTGTAATAAATAACTATAAATAATCATTCAGCAGGTGAATTTTGAATATTGTTTATTCTATTAATTTATTTGGGTAATTTATACTCCAGGATATATTTAGCGGGTTGTAATGTTTTGTGGAAATTCTGAGTCAACGGCACAGGCTATCAAGATGCACATAACCCTATTTTAATTCACTTTTTTATTTTAGTGCGTGATGAACGACTTAAAGACCTCTCTTGGCGAGGATATGTTGCAGTTGATTGAATAAAGGTTTCCAGATGAAATATAGGTCTATAATGCCATTGCATGATATTTCCTATGACCGAGTTCAGATAATCCTTATTCCATTGGTTCACTTCTATTTGGGGACATGCCCTTGGTCTCAAAGGGTCATACAACATTCAATATTGATTATATCAAAACATTCGAGAAAATCATAGAATCTGTATGAAAATTCTCGGATTTTCATAATTGAAGCTATTAATTCGTGAGCGAGAGGGTAATCAAAAGGGAACAATAATGCGTGAAAAAATGTATACCTGTTCGAAAAGTGACGTTGCGTCAATTCCTGCTGCTCTCATAAGTTCATCGGCGCCTCCTGGATGGAATGGTACGTAGGCAGTCACATTGTAAATGATTCCTCTAATTGCTAACCAAATGTCAGTAATTTTGTTGTGCTTTGATAATTCTTCTAGCGTCACCTATATGAAAATAAAACCAACTACAATCTGTATCGGATAATACATGACGATCTAGTCATGTTATCGCCATCTAGTGGCACAAGATCGAAAGAGGAATCAAAAGAATCCCACAATAAATAGGCTATATTCCGAATTCAACTGGTCAGTACCCTCAGTAGATCCACTGACTCTGTTGAAAATCTGTATCCCGAAATATAAAATTAAAAAGACAGTGCTATAATTCAGAACACGTTTTCATGGTTTTCATAAGCAATCAGCAGAAGTTGACCAGCTGATGAAATTTGAATATTATTCTGAGCGTCAATCATTTACAGGTATTTTCTGATATTATACAGGGTCGCTGATATGTATGGAAACAGGTGAATATCTCGGTAATCTGTTGTTGGAGTTTTATCGAATTTATGTACTGTGTGATTAGCTATAACATTTTCAAATTCGTCACGTTTTGAAAGTACACTGTACATGAATTCAAAAAAATCTAACAACAGGTTACCGAGATATTCACCTGTTTGAATACATATCAGCGACCCTGTATATGATATTATTAATTTATTATGGATGAGACAAGACTTTAATGTTTCAATACTAGGACATTCTTTCCTCCTTTGAAATAATGACAGTTCACTGAAGCCACACTACCTTTTGATAGTCAGCAATTTCAGCAGAAGGTTGAGTCGAAATATTTGGAATGAATAATGTGTCTGCTCGATCATAAGTATCTGTCACTTCCAGTGATTTTTTATAAATTTCGGAATGAAAAATCAGCAGATTCAGTAGTGTCAGTTGAATTCGGAATATACATAGTTGAATAGAGAATTTCGAGGCAAATGAGATACGCTACAGAAATATACAGGGTGCCATTTGAAAAAAAAAAAAAGTTGGGTCTACTTCCGATCAAACAGGTGGTTAAAGAAAATTATCATTGGGTTCAAGGAAAGCTCCATCATGGATAATATAACCTTTGTGAATTTCAAATTTTTATCTCTTCAAATAAAAAAACTACAGGCTGTTACATGTCTCCTGTGTCACCTGTTAATTTCCGTACTAGAATTATTATCCGCCTTTGTGAGTATAGCTTTTGAAAACTAACTGAATAAACCTTTATTTTCTGTTCGACTATCTTGAATCATTTGAATTGATTTTTGAATGAATAAAATTTGTTGTCAAAATTTAGTTTTTGCTTATAATTTATTGTTTTTTGAAAAATTCTGTGAAAGTGTGAGGAGAATTTTAATTATTTCATTTTTCATGCTTGTTTGTGTGCTTGGAAAATTCCCTGTAACAGTTTACAAAAGCCATATACAGGATGAACTTTTTGATAAAAACTAAACTATCGAAATGTTTCAAAAACGGTTCGGGATTTTCCTGATTCTGGAAATGTCAGTCAATTAGGGTTCAGTAGAGGAATATTCCATGAAAAAATCAGATGAATCGAAGGAGCTGTTGAAAAGGTATGCCCAAAAGATGTTTTTGCCAAATATCAAAATTCACCCTATACATTGATAAAGAGCGGAAGAAGACACTTTCTGATGGTCATTAGGTATTCCCCTCAAGGGAATCTGTTCGTGGTAGGAGTATATACAGTTCCTCATGACTCACCCTGTATAAGTGAAATGCTTTGGAAATTTTTAGGAACTGATTCACTACCTAGTGCCATGTGATTTGAGTTTTCCAGATCAAAATTTGAATTTTCAAATTAACTTTTTGTGGGAATCAATGTCAACTCCTAAAAACAAGCTATTGGATCTCGTTGATTTCTGACAGAATCACTATCAATACTATAGCGAGCACCCATGGTATTACCCCTAAGATCGCAAAAAATTTGACATGCTCTGAAACTCACCGATAACTTGCCTGCGCAAGATCCAACGCCAGATAGGTCCTTTCCGGATGCACCGAGTCGGATCCAATCCATGAGGGAATGGCCAGGTTGAAGAGCACATTTGTTGCGGGGATTTCCTGAAATACATACGAAACTCTTTTATATTGAATAATCAGTATACAAGGTTTTCAAACTTCAGTCGGCACTATTGCTAACTTGGTTATTATTGCAGCTACACTCAGTTAAATGGACAAAGTAGTGGAATTTTTTTCGTTGATTACGATGATGAAAACTAAACAAAAATTCAACATCGCGTTCACGAGTTGTCAAAAAGTTCAATTTCTTTAAATGGGACACCCAGTATATAGTATTCTTAATCGATAGTAAATTCAACTCTGAACAAGAACTGTCTTGTAAATTTTCATCCTAAATCTAAAAATGACTCAGGTATGGACGATTTCCTTTTGACAAGTTATAACTGGACCATCACTGACTAACACAAATCACTTTGATAAAGTACCCCGGACAAAAACATGGGAAACTGCCTCTCGGTCGTATTGGCTGGAATGTTATTGTGGGATGGCTCATTTGAAAAATATGTGTTTGAAAAGTTTGATCTACTCACTACATCGAAAGTGAGCGTTTGATCCCTCATTTAAGGACACAAACCTGTCAAGGAGGAAAAAAATATTTTTTCTGTGACGGGAAAAAAGTTTGGCATTTCATCTCTGTTGGCAGGTTATAAAATGTCACTTTTCATAAATTACTTTTTTCCCGTGGGAAAAAAGTGAGTACTTTTTTCCCGGATATATATCACATATTTATACTCTGTTAATGGCTTTTGTTGTGCTATAGTTCCGAAAAATGAGTCAATAATACCGTCTCCGAGGAAGAACTGCAAGTCCTTCTACGAGTCCTTCTATCTTCCATTCGACTTCACGGTTTCGTATTTTACTAAACAACTACTGAATTCGCAACTTTTTAAAATCAAATCACAGAATTGAACTGAAATAAATTTGTTATAGCTTGCTTTAGTGGTAGAGATATACGTATAAGAACTGTGCTACACAAGTACCTAATCAGTGTCTCCATCACTACTATAAAACAAATTACAATTTCATTTTTGAACTTCAATGCTCATATTCCAAACTTATTACCTACTCAATCGAAACTTTAAATAAAATGCAATTACACAATAAACAAATTCAATGTGACAGAAGTGACAAATTGATTTTCGTTCGATTCAAATCTGTCTGTAACCTCATATCATGTAATACATTGATTTGAATCGAGACTTCAGAGATAGACCGCTTGAAGCACAATTTGAAGGACGACGCTCTCAAATATATGCGTTCGTCGATAAAATCAGGTATATATCTTGGGAGCAAAGGTTGATTTCCTCCCATGTGTGTTTACTGTCCTCCGCTACGCGTCGGTCATCAAATAGTCTATAAAGAAAGTTTACTTTAAAAGAAATTGTTTTTATTAGAAAATCTGCATGTTCTTTGAAAGTTAGTCTATAATCAACCATAATACCAAAGTATTTGATTTTTTCTACCCGCTCGATTATTTCTTCACCAATTTTTATCTCCATTTTCTCCTCAAGAAATTTATTATAATTTATTTGATTAGCAATGAGCATGAATTTAGTTTTTTTACCATTAATTTTCAAAAGATTTCCACAGCACTATTCTTGTATTTGATTTACTGAATTGTTGAGAGCTTGTACCAAAAGCGCTGGATCTGATGCAGAGAAATAAATTAAGGTGTCATCAGCAAACAAGTGGATTTTACAGTTTCCTGCTGCTTCGACGATATCATCAATGTATATTAAGAACAATAAAGGTCCAAGAACACTTCCCTGTGGAACCCCATGACTATTTCTTATCTCTTCAGAGAATGTATTATTAATCCTTAGTTTCTGTTTCCTGTTATCCAAATAATTAACTAGCCATTTCAATGCTTTATCTTCGATGCCAACACATCTTAGTTTTTCAAACAACCTATCTCGATCCACAGTTTCAAAAGCCCTTTGAAGGTCAAGAAATACAGCACCTGTCATTTGCTTTGCTTGCTAAACTTTTTTTCCAGTCATCCAGAACACATTGGAAAGCTGTTTCACAGCTATACTTACTTCGAAAACCTGACTGAACATTGTTAACTATTTTATTTTCCTCTACAAAGCCTACTAATTGTTCATAAACTGTCTTTTCGAGAATTTTTTCAATGGAGCTTAGCATATTGACTGGCCTCAAATCAGAAGCATTATGTGGGTTTGCAATTTTTGGTATTGGGATGATAGTTGAAATTTTTAGATCATTGGGAAAAGCGCTTGTCTCTAGTGATGTATTAATGAGGTTCAGCAACGGTTCTTTGATGTTATCATAGCAATTTTTTATTAAAACGATATTAATGTCATCAGTGCTCCCCTTGTTGGGCATTGAAAATATTATGTTTTTTAATTCATCATAAGTAATGAGTCTAAAGTTGTGTAATGATATGTTATTGGTTCTGGGTGTGATGGGGTAGTTAGATGAGTTGATATTTGCAAGTATATCCCTAATGCTCTCAATATAGAAATTATTCAGAGCATTTGGTATTTCACAGATGTCTTTGATGGTGACATTTTCTGAGATTATGATTTCATTTAAATTTAAATTTCCACTTTTTCCATTTTTTGGTATGAGATCCTTCATAAAAAATACTTCATTTAACAAGATCAGATACTTGCCTGATTTTGTAGCATCCATTCCACCCCTCTTTCAAGCTCAACAATATAATTCAAATTCCAACTTAGAGGTCAAGAATTGATTTTTGCAAAAAAAAATTCTTGAAACAGATGTTGAACAGCTTCCTGAACACTATCAGATAGTTGTATGATTTCCTTGATGATTTCCTAACATTCATTCCACCCCTCTTTCACCCTCTTATCAATATAATTCAAATTCCAACTTGAGCTTTGGAAAGAATTTTTGAAAGATATTGTTCTTGAAACAGATGTAAAATAGATTCCTGAATATGATCAGATAGTTGTCTGAATTTGTAGCATTCATTCCACCCTTTCACCCTCTTATCAATATAATTCAAATTCCAACTCCGCGGTCAGGAATTGATGTTTGCAAGATGTTTTCTTGAAACAGATGTTGAATAGCTTTCTGAACACGATCAGATAGGTGTCTCATTTTGTAGCATCCATCCCTATTCCCTCTTTCACCCTCTTATCAATATAATTCAAATTCCAACTTAGAGGTCAAGAATTGATTTTTGCAAGATTTTTTTTCTTGAAACAGATGTTAAACAGCTTTCTGAACACGATCAGATAGTTGTCTGATTTTGTAGCATCCATTCCACCCCTCTTTCACCCTCTTATCAATATAATTCAAATTCCAACTTAGAGGTCAGGAAAGCAAGATTTTTTTCTGGAAACAGATGTTAAATACCTTGCTTTCTGAACACGATCAGAGAGTTGTCTGGTTTTGTAGCATCCATTCCACTCCTCTTTTACCCTCTCATCAATATAATTCAAATTCCAAATTAGAGGTCAGGAAAGCAAGATATTTTCCTGGGAACAGATGTTGAATAGCCAAGTGAATAGCTTCCTGATTAAGATCAGATAGTTGTTTGATTTTGTAGCATCCATTCCACCCTTCTTTCACCCTCTTATCAATATAATTATAATTCCACCTTGTGGAGATGAGGAATTGATTTTTTGCAAGATTTTTTTCATGAAACAGATGTGAGATAGCTTTCTAAACATGATCAGATAGTTGTCTGATTTTTTAGCATCCATTCCACCCCTCTTTCACCCTCTTAACAATATAATTTCGGAATTGATTTTTGAAAGATGTTCCTGACCTCTAAGTTGGAATTTGAATAATATTGATCAGAGGGTGGAGTGGATGCTACAAAATCAGACAACTATCTGATCATGTTCAGGAAGCTATCTGACATCTGTTTCAAGAAAAAAAAATGCAAAAATCAATTCCTGACCTCTAAGCTGGAATTTGAATTATATTGATGAGGGTGAAAGAGGAGTGGAATGGATGCTACAAAATCAGACAACCATCTGATCTTGTTAACTAAAGTGTTTCCCACCTATTATAGCAGATTAAAGTGAAATTCATTTCTAATCAGATTTGGAGGATTTTTTCATAAAGTCTCTCTGGGGCCTGCCCATCTTGATCTCATTGGTTGCTGGATGATGTTGCCTTGCTGTTTCCACATTAGTGTTGTCATCAACCTTATATTGAGCAAACAATTTTCCAATTCTCTACCAAAACTCATTTGTCTATAAAATGCAAAGCTTCAGAATTCTTTGCTGTGTTGAATATTCTGAAGAAATTATTATCATCACATTCAAAATGACCTAATTTCAATTGTATAAGATTATTAGATATTTGCTCAACAGAGACTCGTAAAGAGATGATGCTTTACTAAATAAAAATCACCTAAATTATAAATCACTATAGTCATCATATTAGCCTATGGAGGATATGGAGGATACTGTTAATGAATTATGTATTCATGTTTGATAACAATGAGACATGATTTGGATTTAATAATAGAGCTTGTACTGGAAGGAACTCTTAGCTCTTGGTGCTCCTACAGCTTATACCTAAGACTTGCACTCAAGTATTATCTTTTCAAAGTCAGTTGGAGCAGCTCCAGCAAAGAACATAATTATGCAGCATGCTGACATGGCTGACAGTCCTTAGGTTAAAGAGTGCACCACTGGCTGCATGTGATGAGTTCAATTATTTATGTTCTAGTTTTATAGTATTAAAAAAAATTACCTGTTGCAGAACCGGATTTGATATCAAAATTGGTACTAACACTAGCAACACCTGCAGCCAACTTTCCAACTTGTTGTAGAACTGGAGGAACCAAAGTCTGTGGTTTATTTTGATATTTTTCACCTAATAAATTCCCTATGCTACTTTTTGCATGTTTACTTGGACTTTTATTGGAATTCATTTTTAGCAAATTATAATTGTTATGAATGTTTCTGCAGAAATGCACCTTTGAATATTAAGCACAATTAAATTTCATATAACGAGACCTAGATGATATAATAATATAATCATTCTGGTCATGGAATCATCCATTATTCCCGAAAAATACTGTCACACCTGTTGTAAGAACATGAATCTGAGTTATCAGTTTTCTTCTACTAGTGCTAGTTTGTTTATGTTCAAGGGAATTCAGGTACCCAGCAGCAATTTCACCAATGAGAAAAATAAAAATAATTCATAGTTTTACCTACAGAACATGGACATAATTTGCAGTTAAAATATTTCACAGAAAATAATTTGAAGATGTTATAATGTTATTTCATTGTTTAGTTGTAAAGTTTTGGTTTTGTCCGATCTGCTTTGGTGTTAATGGTGTTTACTGTTTACAACTTTCAACTTCAAACTTCAACTTTTACTTCACACTTCACACTCACAACTCACAACTTTCGAACTTTCACAACTTCACAAGTCGTGAGTTTTATATTTGTGTATGTAAAGGGCTTTCACGCTGGGTTGATAGTGACGTCAATATGTCAACACATACAGTGTTGCCAGTTGAAAGGAAATGACTGAATGACCAACCGCCCGAATATGGATATGTCTAGTGTTACGATCGTCGGACGTTATAATGTTTTTTGGAACCAACAGTGGGACTCTGTAACTCAAAGCGAAAGCGAAAGCATGCGTAATCGACTGCTTTTGCCGTTTCGGTACTCTGTATCAATATTCGGATGAGGTCGGAGACGCCGAACGTGAGTTCGTAAGCGAAGCAGAAGCGAAGGATTTTGGTTGCCGCTTTCTGCGATTCTCAACGATTGAGGTTATAGGTATTGGTTTTTGTTGTTGTTCCTAGTTCGAACTTTGTGTTGATTTGAGAAAAATGATAGATTAATAAATGAGGAATGAACCCAAACATGGATAACGAAGCGAGCAAAAACACAACTCAGTCAGTGGGACAGATTCCTCAGTTTTACGAACAAAATCCTAAAGATATTCCAGAGAGATGGAAGTTCCCTTTGGTAGGATTAAAGGTAGGGGATAAAAGAACGTTTAAAAAAAAGTGTTTTTAACCGCCAGCTTAGTTGCAAAGCAACCCTCGAAAGTCAGAGACTTGTGTGAGTTAAGAAGACGTGAGATGAAAAATATGATAGACAGTGTGATGAAAACATACAGCTCATTTGGTAGTTGAAAAATAAACTGAAAAAGGTCTGGAATAATTCATATTCATTCGAATTATCCTTCTCTTTTAGATTCCTGATACATCAAAACAGGCAGATATAAGTAGCTTCTCCAAAAAAAGAAAAATATGTCTTTGGTGTGAGTCCATTGAAGAAGACAATAATCTATTAAAGAATCCTACTAATATAATATGCTGATACCTACAACAGTGAAACATAGCAGAAAGCCTGGAACGTTCAAATTTGAAAAATTTGCATAATAAGTGCATTGGAAGGGAAAATAATTTGAATAGCAAAAACCTTGGAGACACCCAAGAAGAACTGTGTAATATTACTGTGTACCAATAAGGGAGAATCAAGAGTAAATTCCATGAAACAGAATTAACTGAACATTATTTACTATGTTGAACAAGAACGGATTCTACTTTCACTACATTAATAATTCCATCCAAGATTCTAAAGTGGACTGTAAGAAAAAGTGCATCTGTATAAATGCACTGTCAACATATAGCTGCCTTGCAGAAGGCGATTCAAGGAATTATATGTGCTTATCATCTTGTTTAATTTGCGACATAGAGAAGCAAGATCTGATAGGTATTACATTATAGTATGTAAATAATAATATACTGAGTGTTAGATTATAGAATGATATGTCCATTATAAATATAAGCAGTTACATATCTTACAATATTATTGTTATTCTCAGATCATTTGCCTTTACTAGTTGCATATAAATAGAAAGCTGTACCTGAGATATACCTTTTTTTTTTATCGCTTGGAGCGCACGAAAGAGAATCCCTATAATGTTCAAAGAACATCGTGCGTTCCTAGGGAGGATAGGGACAGGAGGTAGGTATTGGAATTTTTTTTGAACTTTTGGAGATTATATGTTGTTGGGAATACTTCCACAGGCAATGAATTCCAGAGCCTAGCCGTTCTATGGATGAAGGAGTCTTGATAAAGTGCTGTTCGACATCTTTCGAGGTTGACAACGAAAGGATGTGCTGACTGGGCTTGTCTAGTTCGTCTGATTGGTATTGCTAGTGAAGGGATGATAGCAGAGATTTCCGAAGAACATTTCCCGTGGAAGTATCGATAGAAAAGTGAAAGGTCGCCGACCTTTCTACGGTGTTCCAACTCAACAGCCGTCCATATATGTTTAAAAATCAGTACTTGAAGTTGATAAATGAACTTCAATATTTGTATTCAATGAACCATGAACCTAAACAATTTACTGAATATGTGATTCATCATACAGGGTGTATACGTGTAGAAATCTCAGAAGCATGTTGCTGACGTCAAAATAAGAAGAAGAGTTCGTATAAATATGTGTCCCAAAAGTTCTTCGTTTCTGAGATACAGAGTGTAAAAGTTGAATTCTTATTTTTGTTTTTTGTTGATGAATTTCGGGATAATTGTGATATCGTTATGAAATTTGGTATCTAGAGGTATTTTTTAATGACAATGTCAAATTTTATGTTAGTTTGCCTCTTTCGTGGGGGTGGCGCCACCTACATGTCTTTTGAGTCTTTTGAAAAGTCATAACTTTCTTGTACCTGTAAAACGTTGTAAACTAAAAAAATAGATTTCTAGAACACTTTTGTGTAATAAATATATTCGTGGTAGAGGTCGCTGCGAGCAAGTGTTTTCGAGTTATCAGGATTTGAAATAATCAATGCAAGTAATTTGGAATGAATGACAAGAAGTCGGAATGATTCAAAATTGATTTATTGAGTGAGGGAAATTATTTTTCTTCAATTTCATGAAAAAATAGGAATTGGGTGTTATTACAATTTGATACTTATAATGATAACAGTAATTAAGACCAAATTATTACTGAAACAGTTAGTTGAAAAAACTTGGATCACAAGTACAGAAGACAAGAAACTTCACTGTCATGAGAAAGGATTGAAATAACATGACAAGTACTCACTAGATTGTTATTTCTTTAAATTGGAAGAGACCAAAAAACAAAAAAGTAAGAATCATATTTTGCCTACATTCCAATGTTGAATGAAGGAGAATATTGAATGAAAGGAGAAAAATGCACTGGCGACATTCACTAGAGGCGACTTACGAGCCACATGGAAATTATTCAAATGCATCGATTATTTTGAATCCCATTAGCAATATAACTCGAAAACAGTTGCTCGCAGCGACCTCTACCAGGAATATACTTTCTACACAAAAATGTTCTAGAAATCTATTTTTCTACTATGAAACGTTATACAGGTACGCACAAAAAAGTTATGACTTTCGAAAGACTCAAAAGACATATGTAGGTGGCGCCACCCCCACGAAAGGGACAAACTAACAAAATTTGATATTGTCATTGAAAAATACCCCCAGATACTAAATTTAATTCTGATATCACAATTATTTTGGAATTCATCAACAAAAAACAAAAATAAGAATTCAACTTTGACACTCTGTATCTCAGAAACGAATAACTTTCGGACATATATTTATCCAAATTTCTATTCTTATTCTGACGTCAGCAACATGCTCCTGAATTTTCTACACGTACACAACTTTTTCACCATCATTAAGGTCTAAAATGGGTTTTTCTCTTTGTTTGTTCTTTTTGGGGCCAGCCAAATCATAACCATGTTCCTGTTTGACAGATAAATAATATTTGGATCATTCGGACAACACAAAATATCATTATTAATACTATCATTCAACTTACATCTCTCACAGCAGTCATGGGAAGTAATGGAATATCGTTATCACGTTCATTTTCGAAATATTGTATCAATGATACCACTATCTTCTGCGCATTCGCACTCAATGGTTTGGGCATTTTGAATAAATCGAATTTCACCTATGATACACAAATAAATCTCAAACAATTCCTTGAATGTTCAAATTGTCAGTAATGAATAATTCGTAGAGATCAGATCACAACAAATCGTTTCTAGAAATGTCGAATAAATCTGGCATCGGTGTACAGTTTTGCCAACTCAAATCGAAAACGCGGTTCGCCCATTTCGAAAGTTACTAGTATTTTTCGATGTGCAGTTTTGGCACGACATTGTTACCAAGCATTGCGCAACTATCAACCCAGCGTGTAAGCCCTTCAGAAACGGCCTTATCGATATCCATTATTTAGACTATTAACTCGAGACGTTTCCGTAAATTCGCCTGAAATTGAATTACAGGATAAAAATTTTCGATTTGAACTTGTTTCCCGATATTGATGATTCTTATCAACTGATTTCCAATATTTATCGTTGTTCAATATACTGAGTGTTTCACAACTAATCTGACAAATTGCAACCACAACTACGATATTACATAAAAAGTCTATCACATAAAAATTTTATAAAAGTAAAATAAGATGGAAAATAAAATTCATAACACTTTATATTCACTGAAACTACTCGAAATGGGCTCTATTGGCGAAATATGACATTATTAGTGAATTCTTCAGAAGATCCATTTATCGACTACTAATATATGAAGCATGGCGGTCCTCGAAACGGGACCAACTCCTGTCTCTATAGGTAACGAAATCGATCAACAGGCGTTGATGCCGACGTAGGGAAAAAATAATACGAAACTTGTCAAACCAATATGGCTGTTTCCATCCTTCACTTTCCGTCCTTATATAGATTCAAAAAGTAACTCTCATTTCGGTCCCATTTTTGTTGAGATATCGAATAGGCGGTGCGCCATATATAGAAATAGTAAATATATGTGAAGATCCAACTAGAAAGTCCTATATCCTAAATTTCAGTACTTGGTTTTAGATTCTATGAGGTTGTTGATGAAGTCTATTGATATTGCCTCCCATTCTTCTGATACAGCTTGGTTGAGGTTGTCATTATTCTGGGGTGCACATGTTCAATAAAATTCAGATCTGGAGATAATGCTGGTCACCACATTCTTCTAACATTATTGTTTTCTAGAGTTCGTAATTTGTCAGATGAGTTGTGAAACACTCAGTATATTGAACAACAATACTCTGTGTCTCATACTCGGGCAATCAATATTGGAAATCAGTTGATAAGAGTCATCGATATCGGGAAACAAGTTTGAATCGAAAATTTCCATCCTGATGTATTTCAATTAGAGGCGAATTTTCGAAAACGTCTCGAGTTAATAGTCCAATATGAATAATGGATATCGATAAGGCCGTTTCTGAATATACTGAATCGAATGGGTCATGGTTTTAGTCACCATTTTCGATTTTTTTTACTGAAATGAGATTTTGTCCTATTTTCTTATCATCCTGTATATTCCACAATAGTGCTTTTTTCGTCTTTCATTGTCCTCCACAAAACGTGAGAACAGTTCTTCCCAATAGTACGAAGCCCTGGAAGGGACACATAAAATAAAAAAAAATAAAAACTCTTCAAAATTCCGACTTATAACTCGGAATTTTAAAATTCCGAGTTATAACTCGGAATTTTACATCAAAATTCCGACTTATATCTCG